TAGGAAACCAGTTTTTCTTGTCTTGATAGAACTTTAACCCAGAAGTATGATAAATACCCACCAAGTTCAGATGCATTAGACCTGATATAAGAAGACTTATCCTGTTTTAAAATGTACAAAGCATTTAAGTATTTCAAAGAATTAAGTTTCTCATCAAGTAAATGGCAAGAAGGCGACGGGCAGCAGGGAGAAAGTAGAACTGCTTAATTTCTTCTTCGCATCTGTTTTTAAGCAAAAGGAAAAAGCAGCCCAACCTATCTAAAGCAGAAACAAGGGAGACAGAACAGGTATACAAGTCAAAATAGGCAACGAATTAGTAAGGAAATGCCTATCTACCCTGGATGACTACAAATCAGCTATTTTGAAGGAGCTGGCAGATGTAATTTCAGAACCCACTGAATGTAATCTTAGGCAGGACAAGAAGTAATGGGTGGAAGCTTGTTAAAGAGAGATCCAACCAAGAAGTAAGGAGAAATTTTCTGACAGTAAGAACAATTAATCAATAAAATAGCTTCCCTCCTAGGGATGTGGCAACTCCATCACAGGAGGTTTTCAAAACTGAACTGGACAACCATTTGACTAGGATGATATAAGATCTCCTGGTTTGAGCAGAGAGTTGGACTAGAAGACTTCCAAGTCCCTTCCAGCTTTATGATTCTGATTCTAAAGATATTTTCCTATAATGCAATCCCACACCCTTGTGAATAATGTGAACAAACTTGTGGAGGCTAATCACAGTATAATAAATGTGTAGAAAATGATGAACTCCCTTCTGTTTCCCACAATGTGATTTCCATGGCGCTACAGACAGGGCATAAAATACTGGAATACCAACACCTATTGTAATCAGAATAAGACGTCCAAGTAACAAGTGCTTCATTTTCAACACACTGAATGGTGAGTCCTTAAAGCAAAAGCTACACAGCAAATCAAATTTCCTTAAACCAAAAATTAAACTTAACATAAAGAGCAGCATAATACTTGGTCATTGTTTCACAGAAATATTATTGCATACAAAATTTAGCAGTAAGACTATCCTGCGGATTTAACAGTGAACAGATAAACATTGCATCATTTTATCAATGATATATAAATCTTTTGCTTAAGCAAAGAAGAAAAACCTTAAACCTAAAGGTGAGCTATCTCAATGTCCTCTAAAATTTTTAATGCAGGATAATACATACAGAGAATTGCCTCTCAAATTCTCCCTATGGGTTGAAAAAACTCTGGAAATCCTATTCTCCTTGCATTTGTCTACTATCAGAAAAAACAATTCAGGAGCAGCCTACGTATTTTGGAATTAAAACTTTAAGGCTAACACATTATTTTGATAGATCATGATGTTGGTAACTAGTTACTGCTAAGAAATCCCTATGTTCTGATGCTCATTGTTCTATATGGCTAAAAGAATGGGTGACTCTCCAAAATAAGAAGTAATTCGAGTTAGCGGGTCAGAATTAAGATTTGGATGACACGGCTATTTATGGTCTGATAAGGTTAAAGTAAATGTTGATTTTAGTAATCACTTTGTTTGACGTGCCATCCTAAGAGTTTAGAATAAATATAAAGTAATATAAAATTTGGCTGTCTCTCCAGAAAGCTTTTTTTTTTTAGAAAAGAAATGCTGGTGAGGCCAGACTGGTAGATTTATGGTTAAATAATATATTTTAATTATGGTGACCCTATCCTCAAATCTAAAGAGGATTTGGGATCAGAAGGACGTGTTTTCCATTGGTTTCCATATTTACAATTGAAAGAAAGACTTAAACTAGACAAATAGGGTTGGGGGATTGTTCTTGACTACTATTTAATTATATCCTCTGCAAGCAACATTATGCAAAGGCAAATTACATTATCTACATCATGGTAACATAAAGAGAATGAGAACACCATTTCATACAAAATTAATTGCACTAGGATTCACTAAATTGTGGATCCAATGTAATTTTTTCAAAACTGAAAAAAAGTTATTGATTTCAATGAGTTCTGGAATATTGAGAGGTCAAATGGAAAAGTAATTAGAACCCTAAAATAAGGAGACAGGAACCCAACATGAACCAATAAGCTTTTTTCCATTCCTTGTTTTTAGATGCAGTATTGGTTGAAAGGCTTTGTTCATGATTCCCAAAACACACCGTAGTATATTATTCAGAACAGCAAATTAGTTCCT